TTAAAAAACAGATAGTTTTCTTTAAGTCAAGTTTTTTTTTCTGGCGGACTCCTCAAAGTATTCAGCATCCAAACCAGAAGGTTTATTCTGGAGACAAGTTTGTAGAAGTAGCCAACGTGCACTCCTAAGTTGGTAAAAATAAAGAAGCTAGACTATACAACTGTAAAACTTACAAGAAGAAGATGTTAAACAAATAAATAACTTTATTAAAAAATTAAATTTTTATTTAAAGCCGATTTTAATAAATAATCCAACTTATTAAATTGATATATAGTAATTTAATATTTATTAAAAATTTTTATAACTTATAATTATTTATAAATAATTATTTTAAAAAGCAAATTTTATTATTTTATAATCTTATAAAGTATTATAAAATAAAGGTATAGGTGACAATATTTTAGTTATGCAATATGTATAAATAGGTTCTTTATACTCAAATAAATGAAAAAAATAACATTATTTTGTTAGTTTAATATAATTTTTGTTAAAATTAAGTTAAATAAGACTAACAATTTTTTTTGTTTTTTAAAATTATATCCAATTCAAAATATTATTACTCCAAAAATATAAATAATACAAATAATAAAAGGAACTTCATGCTGGTATTACATATCGATTAAGTTTTTTTTATAAAAATTAAAGAGTGTAATAAGTAGATTAGTATAAAGAAAATTTATTAATTAAATTATTCAAATTTTTGAATATTTTATTATTTAATTTTTTTGGTTTAGGTTAATTTAGATTGTATTAAAACATCTTAATACGATTTATTCAATAAAATATTTTTGTAAAAAAATCTGTCTCTTGATTTCTGAAAAAATATCTAGGTGAAACAGTGCAACAGAATTACCAATGTTAGCAAATGTTTGATAATAAAAGAATGCTTTATGTTTATCTATTTTAACCCCAATTCCATTTCTGTAACAATTGGTATGGGTATATTATTTTGCTGTAGTTTGTAAAATGATTCTGAATGATGTTTAGAATAAATCTATTGTTAAGATATTTTGCTTTTTTTACCTTCAGCCTTAAGAACCCTATTAAAATCAGAACCAAATAAACTCTCAGTTTGTTGTTTTGTATAATTTGGATTAAGACACTTAAAGGCTAAATCTTTTTGATTTTTGCTAATGTAGAATAAGATATAGAGTATAAGAGCTCATACTAATAGTAAGACTTCTTCTAATAAGTTTTCCATATTATTATTATTATTAGGATTTAATTCATATAATGTTTTAAGTACAGGATCATAGGTCAAATGCGTGCAAAAAAATGGTATGATAGTTTAAATAATATTTTATCAATCTCTTTAACATGCTTGGACATGAGACAATTGAGTTTCTTTTCTTTAGATAGTATATTAAACCTAATATTATGAAATATTCAAATTACAACAATTAATTGTGTATATTATTATTTGGATATTGTTGATAAAAAAAATATATTCAAGTACGTACTAGTTATACAATAATAATTTCACACACACCCCACGATAATAAACTCTAAAATCCATTTTAAGATTAAAAAAAAAACTAGAACTACAAACATGTATACAATAATAATTAT